CAGCTAATTTTTTGATTTATTGTAGAGATGAGGTCTCACCAAGTTGGCCAAGCTGGTCTCGAATCCCCGAGCTCAGGCAATTCTCTTGTCTCTGATTCCCAAAGAGCTGGGATTACAGGCATGAGCCACCGTGCCCGGCTGGAGTATGTTTCAAAGTGAAGGTCACAACCCCTCAGTGAGTCATAAAATTGATTTAGTATCCCACACAGTAAGGTTAATATTGTTTCATGAAACTTTTATTTTAGACACATACAAATAAATGATGTACGTACTGAGTCTGCTGAAAATATATTTTTACAGTGGTTCTTGGGTCAAATAAGTTTGAAGAACTTTGATGCAGTGGCTCAGAGAGCAGGCTCTCAAGTTACTCTTGGGAGTCTGAACTCTGTCTAAATTCTTTCTTAGCTGTGTAACACTAGAAATTTTTTTTTTCTGTTATTGCACTTTTAATTTCGAGACAATTGAGGATGCACATGAAATTGTAAGAAATACTACAGAGAGAACTGACATACATTCAACCTAGTTCCCCAAAAGATATCCTGCAAAACTATAGTACATTGTCACAACCAGGCTACTGATGCTCAATACAATCAAGACATAGGGCATTTCTATCATCACAAGGATCCTTCATATTGACCTTTTTATAGCTGTACCTACCTCCTGTTCCTTACCCTCTTCTCAACCCATGGCAACCAATTATCTGTACATTTCCATAGTTTTATCATTCAAGAATGTTATATAAATAAAGTCATACAGTATTACACTTTTAAGTTGCTTTTTTTTTGAAAACTCAGCATAATACTCTGGAGAACCGTTCAGGTTGCTAATTGTATCAATAATTTATTCCTTTCTATTCAAACATGCCGGGTGGGGGGGAATAGCCCAATTAAAAAGTGGGTAGAAGACATGAGTAGACACGTCTTAAAAGAAGATATATAAGCAGCCAACAGACACATGAAAAAATGCTCAGCCTCACTAATAATCAGAGAAATGCAAATCTAAACCACACTGAGATACCACCAAACTCCAGTAAGAAGGGTCGTTATTAATAAAACAAAAAACAACAGATGCTGGCAAGGATGCAGAGGAATCCTTCTATACTGCTGGTGGGAATGCAAACTAGTTCAACCTCTATGAAAAATAATGTGGATTCCTAAAAGAGCTAGAAAATGACCTTCCATACAACCTAGCAATCCCCCTTCTGGGCATATACCCAGAGGACCTTAAATTACTCTACAAAAAAGATACCTGCACATGCATGTTTATTGCAGCACTATTCACAATGGCAAAAACATGGAAACAGCCATGTTGTTCATTGAAAGTGAACTGGATAAAAATATAATGTGGTACGTATACATGATGGAATATTACACAGCCATAAAGAATAAACTTATGAACTCCACAGCAACTTGGATGGATTTAGAGTCTATCATACTCAGTGATCTATCAGAGACATAGAGCATTGAGTACCATGTGTTCTTATTCGTAAGTGCACCCTCAACAATTACCATGATACGATAAGAAATGAACTGGCAGTACAGGGACACTGTGGCGGGGTGGTGGTGGGGATATAACATCAACAGGGTTATCTGCTCTCAAACCAGGTGAAGTGGGGACCAAAGGGAGGCTCAAACTTTGCCTGTATGATGACCACTTGTATACCTAATCCTGAATTGTACCCCACATCTTTAAAATACAATTTTAAAAAAATTAAAAAAAAAGAAATGAAAAAAAGAAAAAAAAAAGAAATAGTTTATTCCTTTCTATTGCTGTGTAGTATTCCACTAGGAAAGTTTCTTAACCTCGCTGTAGGCTTCACTTTCCTCATCTATAAAATGATAATAAGATTCTGAAGGTTAAGCACGTTCATATATGTTTTAGAAGTGCTTGGGACAGACTAAGGACAAAAAATTGTTAGCTATTACTATTAATATGGTTCTCTATAAATATAACAATTTTATTTAACTTAATAAACTTTTACTGAATGATTATGTGGCACAGTGCTAGAAGCTAAGAAAATCTCTAGATATATTCATTCTATTTTTCAACATGACGGGCATCAAGTCTTAACTTCTCCTCCAAAATGTCAAAGAACCAGTACACAATTTTGGTAGGCAGTATTTTACACACGTATAGTATTTCCTAAATTCAAGTAGTATCCTGACTATTTTAATCCTCAGAGAGATGGGTAGTAATCTAGGCAAATGCAAAGTTATAAAATCTGTTTAAAACCTTGTACTGAGTGCAGATAGGAATTCAATATTTATTGAGAAACTAAAGGTAATAAACTATGTACTTTTTATTATTTAATTTGTCTTCATAATCTTCCTGGTGAGTTTTAAAACTTTTTTAGACACAAATTACTAGCATATAAGGGAGATAATGCAAAATAATCAAACAGTGTTGTGTATAATATGATTTTACCTTATGGAGATACTTCATATTCTGTTACACAAAGTTACAGACACATAGAATGTAAAACCAATCACCACTGTAAGAAACACTCAATAGAAAAAGCAACAATCTTGCCAAAATTTAAAAAACAAAAACAACTACCAATTCAAATGAGCAATCTACTAGAGTTTGTTGTTTTAATAATTTTCAGGAGGCAATACGCTCATGTTACACTTCACCTGCTGAAAAGCCAACTTTATGGCACATCCATAATAATGAGAAACAGAACTGAAACAGTTCAGCCACAAAGGTCTCCTGAAGAGATCTGAGCCTGCAAACAGCAGCTTTCTCTGAGTCTGAAGCCATGATCCTCTCAAGACCCTGAGTTTCTATGTATGCTATATGTAGGTAATATTCTGTTACTCACATTTCTTGTTACTAGCACTTATTTACAAATCTCTAAGTTATGTAACACAGTTACGTGAAATTCTAGCATTTCACATAACTGTGATCGAGTGCATGAGGCAAAAGTAGAGAATGATATAAAGACAAGAATAACGTGACTCAAAAAAGTTAACAAGTAGTGCCATTCTTTTCCTCTCTTTCTAATTTTCCTTAAAGAACTATGTTCCAAGAAGACTCTTCTGTAAACAGGATCCTGATCAACATTACCATATACCACTTGACTGGTAATCTATTAAGATCATCAAGGTACTGATACACCTCACATTTGGGTATTTTATGTACTGTGCTGTTAAAGTTCACCTCATTTCCCTTTGGGAATTCACCTATACTAGTCATCCACAAGAATGCCAGCATAAACAAAATGAAAAAGAGGAGGCTGACTCACAGTGAGCCTGACCCTTGCATTAGTACCTACTGTCAAAGAAACGGAATTTTGCCCATATTAAGTCATGGGGAAGTCTTTAAGAAGAGCATATAAACCGGCGTGGCGGCTCACGCCTGTACTCCTAACACTTTGGGAGGTGGAAGCAAAAGGACTGCCTGAGCCCAGGGGTTCGAGATCAGCCTGGGAAACTTGGCGAGATCTCAACTCTACAATAAATAAAAAATTAGCTTGGTGTGACGGCACATGACTGTGGTTTCAGCTACTTAGAAGGCTGAGGTGTAAGAACTGCCTGAGCCCAGCGGGTCAAGGCTGCAGTGGCCGTGAGTGTGCCATTGCACTCCAGCCTGGGCAAAAGAGTGAGACTCTGAATCAAAAAAAAAAAAAAAAAAAAAGAAGGGCATATATTTTATACAGCATTTTCCTTTAGTGTCTAGTCTATCAAAGGAATTAAAGTCTTTAACCTAATGGTACTTGGCCAATAATAATAATAGCAGCTAACATAATAATAAATGCTACACATTGCATAAATCAACACCCTCCTCTTTTTTTCTTATCTATGAGCTGTTAATCAGTTAGACAATACTGATTTGTTCTTTCACTAAATTATATGTAATCAGTGATATTAAGCAGAATCAAAGATGGCATATAAATTGTTTCACTATGGGAAAAGCGATAAAACTCAGGATCAGGGAAGTGCTGAAGTCATCCCTGGAGGGAAACTGCCTTGATTTTGTCTGGTGTGACCACATCCACTGAAGACAGTCTATCCCAGGTCTGATAAGGATACCAAGATGTTTGACAGTTTCTGCTCTCAAGGAGTTTACAGTTTAAAGTGACAAATATACAAGAGTCAGATTCTGCAGGAGCAAGCAAATGGAGCAATGAATGCTGGCTAAATTAGCTGTTAGAGAGCACTTTGTGGAGCTCCCGTCTAGGCTGAGGGTTGGACAGGTGGCACAGGTGGTGGAGAAGGGTGTGAATGCTCCTGTGAGATGTCACAGGAAGCAAGCAGGGGAGGAGGGTGAAGGCAGCTCACACAGAGAACGGTGGCAAGGCCAGTCTGGGCAGATTGTAGGTGTGTGTGTGCAAGGGGAGTGTGTGTGGAAGCTTGAAGACGCCTTCAGTCACCTGGGCAAAGTGGGAGGATGTAAAATGAGAGCGTGAAGTAGAGCCAAACCTCACTTTTTCTATTTTATTTTATTTTAGTATAAAATGTGTGAACCACCCTGAGCTGCCTAGAGTGAAGGACACAGCAACAGAAGAAAAACAACCATTGGTTTGGGGAACCTTCACACATTAGAATGTAATAAAATAATTCCACCAGAAAGGAATGCTATGACATGACAAAGCTGAAAGTGTTTAATATTATGGAAATCTACAAATCAGAGCAACATTCCAGACAACATACTTGAGATTCCTGGAATCTGTCTTCGACTGCTATGAAATTTATAGAAATATATATTCACATGAGTGATAAAATATAAACTTTCCCAACAAACAAAAAGGAAAACTTGATGTAATATTGAAATTCTGTCCCTTTAAAACACATCATTCAACATGTATCCTAAAAAAGCAGCATAGACATATATGAATGCTATTTTACTTGGAACCACAAACACAAAGATTTCCCAGTTATTGCCATGGGAAGTAAGGCCTAAAGCTGACATTCCCTCTGATGGAAAACAATTAAAAGGAGGCTAGAAAATTCTAAAAAAGCAAGGGAAAAAAGGCTGAAAGACACTGGTGTGGCACGCACCTTCTGTATCATCCCGCATTTGCTCCACCAAATCTGTCAAATCCTCCCAAGAGTCTTTGCAAACGGCAAAAAGAAAGGAAAAGAAAGATAAAATGTCATGCAAGCCGAGAAAGAAAAATGCTGTAACAAAAACAAGATTTCCAAAGGGATAAACGAAAGGGAGGGCCCTAGGATTACTTCTACTTAACACAAAGATTAACAGTGAAAAGGGCTGGGGATACAACCAAATAAGCAGAGATATCAAGTATGATTATTAAACATACTTCAAAGCTAAGATTAGTAATTCCAAAGTTTCTAATATAGGGAAACAAAGAAGTATCGCCCACAAAAAAGTAACAGTTTTTTTCTATATTGAAAATCAAAGGCTCTTTGTATTCTAAGTGTACACAACACTTATCTAATTCAACATTTATTTTGATCACTTCAGGGAAGCTGAAACCCACGTGGAATATGTTTTTTAGACTTGGGAAAATATAATGAAGCAAACTAGTGACTTTTCTTAAAATAACAACAAAAAAACCCCTCCCTCAATTATCCTTCCCCAAAACAAAAAGAAAAGGATGCTGCTTTAAAGATACACAAAGCAAGTCACTTATAATTCAATAAAGCCAGATGTTTAGTCAACACACAGCCCTAACAGGATCAGAGGCAAGACACCACAACCAAGCACATTAATGCTTCCGCAGGAAATACATGAACATCCAGATTAAACAGGATAAGGATTATAAATAGCCTCATATAAGTTCAGACCATGTTTTTATCACCAAATGAATTCAGGTAAGTTCATGAAAAATGCTTTTGGTTTCCAGAGTTTTTTTTTTTGATTTTGGAATTGTGTATCTGTATATGTAAAGCACCGAGAAAGTGTCTCACACAGAAAAAAACCTAAGTGCTGGCTAGTATTATTTTACAGTAAATTAGTGCTGAAATACATTATATATAGACATATTTGTACATGTCATTTTCAGGTATAATGCTTTGGCAATATAATATGCTACAGATCTATATTATTTATAGAGTATGTCTGACTCTATATATAGATTATAGAGTCAGAAGGATATATACTCTTTTTACCAGCCACATGAGTTGCTCTACAGACTTGCTATGCGACCTTATAAAAGTTAATAGGGTAAATATTCTCATTTTATATTATGACTCACATCTGTAATCCCAACACTTTGAGAGGCTGAGGCAAAGGACTGCCTGAGCTCAGGTGTTTGAGACCAGCCTGGGTAACTTGGCAAGACCTCGACTCTACAACAAATTAAAAAAAAAAAATTAGCCTGGCATGGGGGGTGCACGCCTGTGGTTCTAGCTACTTGATCACCTGAGCCCAGCAGGTAGAGGCTGTGATGGCCGTGAGCATGCCACTGCACCCCAGCCTGGGTGACAGAGTGAGACTCCAACTCAAAAAAAAAAAAGATCCTCCAAGATTGTTTAAAAAAAAAAAAAACCCAAAAAACTCTGGAAAGTGAATTTCTAGGCAGGAATGTGTGGTAAGTACCAGGATCCTTTGATTTTTCCTTTGGCATGTCCAATCTGGAGCACTTTTATTTTCCAACCAGATTTTTTTTTGTTTTCTTTTCAAGTTTCAGAGTGATGAAATCAACTTAAGACAATCCCCCCCCAGAAAGGTAAAACATTTGCCTTTTCTTTTAGAGTTGGTCCTTCCATCTTACCTTGGCATGCTCAAGATTTTACTGTAATAGGTAATGTGTCATTCTTTTATAATCCCCGAGGAAGAATTTGTAAAAGATTTCTAAAAATTGTATCTTCAAATCATTAAAACAATAACAGTATTTAATACATTAGTCAAAGAGGTAGAAGGCAGCAAAGACAACTCCTGTTTCTTTCCCAGCACATTTCATTTTTTCTAGACATAATACTTTGTTGCCTTGTGCATGCATTGCATAGTCTAAAAACTATATTAACATTAATTTGTATCTTAATAATACATACTCACAAATTCCAGAGAAAAACAATGTCAAGGCCTACTAGTTGACCAGTAAACAGGTCTGAATTAAAATTTGCTCTAAGGAACATATAATTCAGAGTTGTATCAATCAGAATTGTGCCAGATGTGTACTATAAATGTTAAAGCAAACAGTAAAGGGGAGCTTCCAAAGTTACTCAGGTTAAACAGATAGCCTCAGTTCCCACTCGGAACACTGACTCGCAAGAAGGGAGTACCCAGTTGGAAATGCTGAGCGGACAGCAGCATGTAGGGCCAAGCAACTGGTAATGGAACATTGCGACCACCACTCCACTCAAAATACCTGGATTAAATTGTTAAAAATGCTGCACCTCAGACCAGCCTGAGCAACATGGTGAAAACTTGTCTACAATAAATAAAAAAATTAAATTAGCTGTGCATGGTGGTGCATGCCTGTGGTTCCAGTTACTTGGAAGGCTGAGCCCAGCAGGTTGAGGCTGCGGTGGCTGTGAGTGTACCACTGCTCTCCCACCTGGGCGACAGAGTGAGACTCTGACTCAAAAACAAATGCTGCACCTAACACAATTTGGTCACCTTATTTTTAAGATATATATGAACAAAGATTTTTCTTTATTCAAGAGATAAGAGACAAAGGTGGGCCTGGTGGCACACACCTGAAGTCCGGGCTACTCAGGAGGATAAAGCAGAGGATCACTTGAGCTCAGGACTTTTGGGGACAGCCTGGGCAACAGAGTAAGACCCTGTCTTTTGAAAAAAGAAAAGAGAAAGAAGTACAAGGCTGGAATTGTAAAAGGGCACTGAATTAGGAGAGATAGCTTATTTAACTATTTTCTTGATTATCATTCTATTTCTGGTTTAAGAATGAATAGATCCATAGACTATGTACCTCTAAAAATATTTGATCAGGTGCTTCAGTAAACATTTGCTCTTAAAGTACACGGTAACTCAATGATAACAGCAGTGTGATCTGGTAGAAGGGAGTCCTGGCCCCCATATAATGACTATAGTTTTTTTTCTGGATGAGGGAACTGGCTGAAGCTCCTTCTTTCCAGAGAAATGCTTGAGTGGGCTCAAAAAGTGCTTCTCCTTTATTTCTTTAATTATATATGCATAGCTGCAAAATCTCTCTCCTTTTTTTACAGACAAGGTTTTGCTCTGTCACCCAAGCTGGAGTGCAGTGTGACACAATCAAGGCTCACTGCAACCCTTAAACTCCTAGGCTCAAGTGATCCTCCTGCCTCAACCTTCCAAAGCACTGGGATTACAGGCATGAGCCACTATGCCTGGCCTTGAAATATCTTTTCTTGAGATAGCCTTTCTCCTCGGCTGGGTGCAGTGGCTCACACCTGTAATCCCAGCACTTTTGGAGGCCAAGGCAGGAGGATTGCTTGAGCCCAGGAGTTCAAGACCAGCCTGGGAAACATAGTGAGACTTCATCTTTACAAAAAACCAAAAACTTAGCCAGGCATGGTGGCTTGCACCTGTAGTCCCAGTTACTTGGGATGCTGAGATAGGAGGATCACCTGAGCCCAGAAGGTTGAGGCTGCAATGAGCTGTGATTATATCACTGCACTCCAGGCTGGGCAATAGAGTAAGACTCTACTTCAAAAAAAAAAAAAAAAGCCTTTCTCCAGCAGTATTGCTGTAGACAAATTTTGTAAGCCCTGCGAGTTATTTTGTCTCCTTGAGATCACCTATGATTTATAGTGCTAATTTTTAAAATTTTGTTACAGTTTCTTGAGGGAAAGCTTTCCTGAAGCTCCAAATACAGATAGAACACAAATAACTCCTTGAAAGACTGTTGTGAAAAGAAAAGTTAATAAATTTAAAGTACTTAGCACATCATAGGCCCTCAATGTCAACTTTACATTTACAACTGCATTCCTCTAAGTATATCTGCATAATTTTTCAAAGACTATAGAGAGAATGGGATTTTAAAAAAACAACTAAGCCAAATATTAAACACAGGAAAAAAAATAGTCAACAGAAGTGAACCAAACGACAAATTTAATAGCTGAAGTGCTATTAAACTAACAACAATACTATTATAATAATAAAAACTAGCAAAGGAACTGTGAAGCTACTTTTCATAAATGTTAAGCGATCCTGTTTAAATAAATCACTAATTTAGGCCAAAGTCTGTTTTATCCCCATAGTATATTTTCAAAAATCAGCAAGAAATTATAAATGCTCCTAGAAAAATAACACATTATGTTATCAAAATATGAACCATTTAAAATTTACTGAGCACCTATGGTGAGCAAAAGATTTTAGTCAGGAAATACAAGTTACAAAGATGAAACATCCATAGACACTGCCCTTGAAGAGCTCTAAGAAACTATGATACAAAGTTAAAAAGGAATTGATATTAGTGCACAAGTGAAGAAGACAACATACAGGAAGTCCCCAACATATGAATGAGTTCTGTTCCAAAAGTGTATTTGTAAGTCCAATTTGTTTTTAAGTTCAACAATTTAGACTAAGTGCCAAATGAACACAATTTGCTATATAGTACAGAATGTATTTAACAGGCTCTATAGTGACACTTGGTGGAGAGAAATAATACACAAAACATGCGGTGTGCATTGTTAAAGTTTGTAAGCTGAAGGTTCATATGTAGGGGACTTACTATAGACTCTAAGTCAGGTGAGCAGCTAGATGGCACCAGATGGCTAAGGAGGCCTGCGCCTTACGGGGATGGAGGGAATGAGGACACAGGGCTTGCTCAGCATACCTTTTACCCTCATGCCTGAATGGCTGTGCTGGCAGAAATATCAGCTCTGATAGGCTTCAGTTGGGAAGTTACTGCCCACAGGACTGGACGCTGTGGGATTCCCAGACAAAACATTTTACAGCTCTATAAGAGCTGAAAATCATAGCAGCCTTTTCATCTCAGAAAGCAAACTCTAGCAACCTCAAGAAATCATGATATCCCTCACTGCACAGTTAACAGTAAAAACTAATTATCTTCTGCTTAGGACACTGTTGTTAGCTGTAAAAAAACCAACAACAAAAAACAGATAAAGTAATATCAAACTATCTTAAGACACTGTATCCTCTGAAAAGTTCAGATTTTAATACAGTGAGAGAAACCAAATGC